GAGCTGAACCTTGCCCTATCCTGTGTCATCCACCTCATCCATCATATGCTTGTTCCCTTGGTACAGTCACTATTTCAATCCATCTTATTGAGGGTCTTCCTTTCTTCCTTTGACCCTCTGCCTTTCTTAGGATGTTGGCTTTTTCCAGTGACCGGCCCCTCCTGATAACATGCCCAGAGTATGGGAGACAAAGTTTACATTAGTAAGCTGGTACAAATCAGCCCATGCTAACCTTGCTTATCGGGCAATCTGACACAGAATCTAACTCCTAAATTAGTGAATTGCCTTCATTTTAGTGAACATTTACACAGCCAGCTACATATGTCTTTAAAATGAAAAATTTCTCTTGAGTTTTCAAGAAAAATTAAAAATAACCTTGAACATATTTTACTAGGTGTTACAGTAAGTACTAAATTGTTGTTGTTGTTGTTTTTAAGTACTGTCGAGTCATAGGTGACTCATAGCAACCCTATGAACCAAAGACGTAAGCACTTGTATAATTTTCATCGTTTCTCCAGGTTCAAAGGGTTCCCAGGGGCAAGCTATTTCAGAAGTAGATGCCACTCCTGCTTCCAAGCTTGTTTTAACCAGGGAGCACCACCAAACACTGTTACCATGGGTAACCATTATCACATTTGACACATTAATGTCCCAATGTTCAGCTTCATAGCAACCACAAGTTACCTCTGTACAGTAAGTGGACAGACCAGGGCTATATGACATAGAAGTACAAACTAGTTATCATATATTATCCCCATTATTATAATAGTTAGGGAGCTCTGGTGGCTTAGTCATAAGGAGCTGTGCTACCAACCTAAATCCACCAGCTGCTCTGAGGGAGAAAGATGAACCATCTCCTCCCATGTGATCAACGCTTCTAAAAACCCAGTAGAGGGTAAGCTATGGGTCAGTTCCAACATGACAGTACATAGCAACAACATTATACTATCATGAGGCCTTGCTTAGTATACAAGGTATTAGATGCTCAACTCTTGGGAAAAAATATGAAGGTTCAAATTCACCCAGAGGCATATGAGAAGAAAGGCTAGAAGTCTACTTCTGAACAATTGTTGTTGATTGCCATTGAGTCGAGCATGACTCATAGCGACCCTATGAACAAAAGGCCGAAGCCTTTCTATAACTATCATCATTTATCAAAGTTCATAGTTTCCAGAGGCGTGTTGTTTAGGAAGTGGATGCCACTCCTGCTTGTAAATCCTACGAAGCACAGCTCTAATCTGACACACACGGCACCTGCCAAAAACGGAAATCCACTCAAGGGTAATTGATTTTGGTTGGTTGGTTGGTTGGTTGGTTGGTTGGTTTTATAATATTTACATTTGTATTGAGTTATCATGTATTTTGAGTTATCATTGTATTCAAATATCTTAAAGAGTCCAAGAAACAGGATTACACTGTATTGTGCCCATTTTACAGATTCTTTGACTGCTGAGGAAAGTGGCTTCTTAATAATAGGTGAAGTCATTTGTTGAGTGAGGAGTGTGGAAGGAGAGAGAGATCAGAGGCTGGAAGCGTGGAAGAGAATGCCAGGAGCTAGAGCCCCGGACCAGGGAGGCACTGGCTAAATCCATGTAAACACAAGCACCAATCCAAAGAAGCCCCATATAGTACAGGCAGAAACAGAGCTCATGCTAACGTCCCAGGAGCTCATTGTCTTTCTTCACCTCGCCCTTAAATCTCATTTATCCAGAATTTGAGATAACGAGCATCAGTCAATCCTCCAAACGTTTCCTGAATGAGCACGTTGCAGCAGTTAATGGAGTTCATGAAACACCTCAGCCAGAAAGCATTTCATTAACATCTGTCACAATTTATCAGCTCAGCCTATGCAACCATTATGTATTGCAATCTTGTTGAAATAGAAACAGTCCCATGTCACCTCCGCTTTTCTTTCTTCCATGACACACAGGCCACCTTGTGGTCGAAGAGGGCACAGCCATGCCATTCTGGACAAATTCTCCAAAAATGTCGTCTGAGTGAAAAGAGGGAGATTTAGTTAAGAAAAAGTAAAGACAATTCTCAGACTGAACAAAAGAAACATGGAGGGGATAAAAGAAATATTGAGGCAATATTTAACTTAAGATTGAGTTGTTTGTTACGTGCCGTCTAGTTGCTTGCAACTCATAGAGACCCTATGTACAACAGCCCTGAAACCTGCTCTATCCTGTGCCAACTTGACTGTCTCCAAAACACCTACCCTCATTACCCCAGTCACTGTGTCAATCTATCTCATCGAGGGTCTCCCTCTCTTTCTCTGTCCCTCCACTCTTCCAAGCATGACAACCCTCTCTAAGGACTGGTCCCTCCTTGCAGCATACCCAAAGTATATCAGAAGAAGCTTCAGGATTCTTTCTTCCAAGGAGCAGGCTGGCTTCACCCTCTCTAGGACTGGTTGGGTTATGTTCTAAAATACTTCTATGATGGCTTTTTGAAACTCAAAATATATTTTCTCCTAAAAAACAACAACAACAAAAAACCAACCACCCTGTTAGTGGTAATGAGCTTCTAGAATGTGTACATGAACACTAATTTCACTTGTACAAACCTATGTCAGAGCGCTTTATTCCAACAATGCCTAATGCTCATGTATAGTTAGTTTTCTGCCAGAGGTTCATGGATGGGTTCCTGTGGAAGAAAACATCTTGACTTGGTTTGGAACAAAGTCAGCCCCACCTCAAGCAAGGGAATTAGCTAATTAGACACTTAAGGTGAGGCCAATCCGAAAGTGGGTCCCATGTTGTGAACATCCTTGACCCAATGACAGATGCTTGAGACATTTCTTAGCCTTTATGTGTTCTTGAAAGAAGGGAAGGGCTCCCTGGTAGACATCACTGGCAGTTGTTAAACATTTATGGTGTGTCTCCTATGTAAATGGTGAGCTTTTGTTGTTTGTGTTTCGAATATTTTTTTGTTTTGTTTTGTTTTAATAATTTTAATGACCATTTACAGAGATTTTGGATTTCCATTCATTCATTGTTGCACTTTTCTCCCTGCCCAGCCCTCCCCCCACCCCAGTTCACTCCTCTCTTTGAAAAGTAAAAGAAAAGTTCTTTCTTTGATAGACAATCCCCCATGCACCCCTCCCACCACCCCAAGTGGACTCTTGTGAGAACCATAATACCCCATCATACATCGCTTTTAAATTATTCTTCCCCTCATCTGTTTCAATGCAGTATACACAATTTATCCAGTTTTTCTCAGTCTCACCCCAACCCTGATATCAGTCCCATTTTACAGCAGTGGCACCATGCCATAATTGTCCTTTTGAGACTGAGATATTTCACTCAGCATAATGTCCTCCAGGCTCACCCATTTTGAATAATATTGCATGAGTTCCTTGTTTTTCAATGCAGCATAGTATTCCATTGTGCGAATATACCACAGCTTCTCTATCCATTCGTTTGTTGATGGGCACCTGGGTTGTTTCCAACTCCTTGCTATTGTGAACAAAGCTGCAATAAACATGGGTGTGCATATATCTGCTTGGATGTCAGTTATGGTCTCTTTGGGATATATTCCCAGTAGTGGAATTGCAGGGTCAAATGGTATCTCTATTTGCAACCTTTTGAGAAAGTGCCATACTGCCTTCCACAGTGGTTGCACCATTTTACACTCCCACCAACAGTGAATAAGGGTTCCAGTCTCTCCACAACCTCGCCAGCACTTGTTGCTTGCTGTTCTGTTAAATTTTGCTATTCTGACTGGGGGGAGATGATATCTCAGTTGTTTTGAGTTGAATGTTTTTTTAAGGTTGACATCATCTTGGTATCATATGTTCTGATGGTGGACAACAAAAACTAAGAGGTCTCCCAGTATGTCCACTGGGTGACTTCACCTGAAGACTCCCCTCCATTCTCCTGTCACTTGCTCCATTTCACATCCTCTGGATAACAGTGCTTTTCAGACAGTGTGCATATCATCACCTGGGAATCCTGCTAAAAATGCAGATTCTGATTCAGTGGTTCTGAGGTTGGGCTCAATCCTCTGCATTTGTAACAGGATCCCAGGTGGTGTGAATGCTATGACCTGCAGACTGCATGTGAACAGCAAGACCTTTTACATTTTCACAGTATTATCAGGTAAAGAAGAAACAAAGGCAATGATTTGTTTTTCTACACTCCTTGAGGGGAAATTTACATACAGTGAAATGCAGTGTAAACATACAATTCAATGTGTTTGGACAAATATTCATACACATGCCCTCTGTAATCTATACCCTAATCAAGAGCATTCCCATCAGCTGAGAAAGACCCTTGTGTCCCTTTTCATTTAATCTTTCAAGCTTTGTTGTTTTATTGTGCTGTCAAATAGATTCCCTACCATAATGACACTATAGGACAGGGCAGAGCTGTCCCATATGGTTTCCTTTTGCTCCTGTGGAGTCACTGAGGTGATTTGAACTACCATCTATCTATTCGGTTCTCAAGCAAGTACTTAACCATTGAGTCACCAGGGCTCTTTATACAGCAATGCTTTCCGTATCCAGGTAAGTTTCATCACTACACCACAGTTGCTCCAGAGAATCCACGTGTGGGGTTGAGGCCACCTCCATGGTAGAAATCACAAGAGTGCTGTTTTTAGGAGCCTAAACACTCAATGACTTGTGAATATTAAAACAGATCAGTAGCATAACCACAAAAAGTAATGCCTATGGTAATTAGTTTTAAACTGCAGAATTATTTGACAACTGTTGGTGTAAACTAACAGGAACCGCTCACTGGTGGCCCCTTCAAGCGATGCCCAGGCAGGTATCACACCTGCCATCCCCAGGAGGACAAACTGGGCCACCTGTGCCCTTGACAAGCCTCCCTTCTGAAAGGTGAATCTGAGCCCTTTGTGCTGTTCGTTCAGAGGAGTTTCTGGCCTGCAGTCTCTCCCCTCTTAGGGTCTCCAGCCATGAGCAGCCCTAACAGAAGGGCTCTACTAATTGCCCTCTACACTTTTCTGTGTTTTAGCATCCTGCTTCTGCTCCTGCCACCATGAAAGTCCTGCTTTGTGACTTCCTGCTGCTCAGCCTCTTCTCCAGTGTGTTCAGCAGTTGTCAGAAGGACTGTCTCACCTGTAGAGAGAGACTTCGCCCTGCCCTTGATAGTTTTAACCTTGAGGTAAGTCCAGGAGGCTGGAGGGCCAGCTTCTTGCCAGTCCCCCTCCACTCTCCTGATCCAGACCAAACACTGAAAGAGTAAGTAAGGCCTCACATAACTGAAGTCACATGATTTGCCCAGTGTCACACGGTCAGTAGGAAGGAGAGGAAGACGGACTTCCTACCTCCTGACCACAAGCCCTGGGATCTTTCCACTTAACCACTTTCAAACACAGACATGCCCATATTACCATTCTGTTCTAACTGTGAAAACTGAGTATGCTCATGTTGGGGAATTTGACACATTCAGAGAAAAATTTCCAAAAGTTAAAATAACTTTTAATCCTACTGGCAGTGTCCAGGTACCCAGCAAAGTAAATTTACTTGAGCCTACTGACTAACCTGCAGTGAACAATTTCTTTTTCTGAATACAGCTTATTTTGTTTCATCAGCCCCTACTGGTAACACTGTTAGTAATATTCCCATTTTTTATATCATAAATAATTCTACAATCAGCATCCAGGTACTTAAATGATCTCTTGTGTTTTAAATTTCAAATTAGAAGTACAAATCTGTGGCTTACTTTTTACTCATTAAACAAAACACTTCACCAACTATAATTTCAGTCTACATAATCATTCTCCTATTAAATCTAATGACTCAGTTAGCTTTCTGTTGTCAAATAAACTTTTTTCAAAAGATTCCAAGATTTAATGCCTCAAGCTTTTGTAAAACAAGAAGTAACTCTATTATTAAAGCAAAAATATAAATATATTGTTAGGTGCTATCAAGTCAACTATAACTCATAAAGACCCTGTGAACCGGGTCTGATCCGATGTGTCCTATCCAATGCCATCCTCATGAGCCCTGCTACGGAATACTCAAGTCCATTGTTATAGTCACTGTCAACTCATCTTGCTGAAAGTCTTCCTCTCTTTAAAATGATGTCTTTTGACTAAACATGGCCCCTCCTAACAACATGGCCAAATATGTGGCACCAAGTTTCCCCATCTTTGCTTTAAGGAAGACTCTGGTTGCACTTTCTTCAAGACAGACTTGTTTGTTCTTTTGGCAATCCATGGGATATTCACTACTCTTCTCCAATACCACAATTCAAAGACATCAATTCTGCATAACACAGCAATAAAAATGGATGTGCATATATCTGCTTGGGTGGCAGTTCTGTTTTCTTTAGGGTATATTCCCAGTAGTGGAATTGCTGGGTCAAATGATATTTCTATTTCCAACTTTTTGAGAAAGAGACATACTGCCTTCCATAGTGGTTGCACCATTTTATACTCCCACCAACAATGAATAAGGATTCCAATTTCTCCACAACCTCACCAGCATTTGTTATTTGCTGCTATGTTGAACTTAGCTATTTACTGGCATGAGATGATATCTCATAGTTGCTTTGATTTGTATCTCTCTTAAAGCTAGGGATATTGAACATTTCTTCATGTGTTTGTTCACCATCTGAATGTCTTCTTTGGTGAAGTGTCTGTTCATATCCTGTGCCCACTTTGCGATTGGTTTATTTACCTTTATCTTGTTGAGGTGATAAAGTATTCTATAAATTCTAGATATAAGTCCCTTATCAGACATGTCATTACCAAATATTTTCCCCAATCTCTGGCTTCCCTTTTTACCCTGTTGGAAAAGTTTTTGGATGTGCATAGGGATTTGATTCTTAGAAAATCCCATTTGTCTATTTGTTTTTTCTAGTTGTAGGTTTATCAGGATGCTTAGAAGACTGTTTGTGTTGTGGATTAGGGCTTCTAGAGTTCTTCCAAGCTTTTTTCTGATGAAGTTTATTATCCTTGGTTTTACTCCTAGGTCCTTGATGCACAACAGCAAAGAGATGGAAGCAACCCATATGTATATGTAGTATATTCACACAATGGAATACTACACAGCACTGAAAAACAAGGAACTCATAAAATATCATACAAAATGGGTGGCCCTGGAGGGCATTATGCTGAGTGAAATATCTCAGTCACAAAAGGACAAATACAGCATAATGTCACTGTTATAAAACAGGACTGACATGGAAGTTGAAGGAAAACTAAGAAAAGAGGTGATAATAATGAACACTGAATTGAAATAGATGAGGGCAAGAACTGTCTGAAAGAAATACATGATTAGGTATTATTTACATGACAATAGTCCAGAATAAGAAGAAGTGCATAGCAAAGTGGACTGGGGGGTGGAGGTGTGTGGAGAAAATTGTGCAAAAATGGAAGAATCTTTTTAAAGAGAAAAGCGAACTGGAGGGAGGGAGGGAGGAAAATATGCAACAATGAATGAATGAATATCCAAGTTTCTGTAAATTTTCGTTAAAATATCATTTTTTTAAAAAAGAAAACAACAAATACATCAATTCTCTGGTCTTCCTTGTTCAACTTTCAAATCCAACAAAACAACTAGAAGTAACATGGCTTGGAGCCAGTGCAACTTAGTCTTTAAACTGATACTCTTGTTCTTTGGCACTTTGAAGAGGTCCATGACAGCAAATTTTCCCAATGCAACATGCCTTTCTTTACTGTTGCTATTATGGGTGTTGATTGTGGATATAAGTAAAACGAAATCATAGGCAACTTCAATCTTTTTTCCATTTATCGTGGTGAGGAAGATTTTTGTTTTCTTCATGTTGACATGTAATCCATATTGAAAGCTGTAGTCTTTGATTTTCTATAGTAAGCACTTCACATCATCTACACTTTTTGCAGGTAAGGTTGTTTCAACTGCATGATGTCAGTTGTTGATAACTCTTCCTCAAATCCTGATGCCACATTCTTCTTCATGTAGTCCAGTTCTCAAATTAATTTACTCAACATTCAGACTGAATAAACATAGAGGAAGGATACAACCCTGACACACTCATTTCTTGATTTTAAGTTATGAAATATTCCCTCACTCCGTTTTGAATAACTGCTTTTTTGTCTATGTGTAGATTTTGCATGTACACAAGTGTTCTGGGATTTCTGTTTTTTTCAATGTTGACCATTATTTGTCATGATCCACACAGTCAAATGCCTTTGGATAATCAATAAAAAAACATATATCTTTCTGATATTCTTTGCTTACGGCCAACATCCATCTGACATTAGCAATTATATCCCTAGTTTCATGATCTCTTCTGAATATACCTTGACTTTCTGGTGGTAACCTGTCAATGTACAGTTCTTTATTGTTTATTTCATAATCTTCAGCAAGATTTTATTTGCATGTGATATTCATTCCAGTAATTCCCACACTCTGTGAATCTCTTTTGGGAGAATGGGAACAAATATGGATCTGTTCCAGTCAGTGGGCCTATTAACTGGCTTCCAAATTTCTTAGCCTACATAAGTGAGCACAACCAGGGCTGCATCTGTTATGAAACACCACAGCTGATATTCCATCAGTTTCTGAGGTCTTCTTTTGCCAGTGTCTTCAGTCAGTGCAGCTTGAACTTCTTCCTTCATTACCATTGACTCTTGATCACATTCTACATCCTGAAATGTCTCCGTTTTGACCAGTTCTTTTGGGTACAGTGATTCTATTTATTCCTTCCATCTTCTTTTGATGCTCTTGAAACATTCAAGATTTTGTCCAAAGAATCCTTCAGTATTGCAACTCAAGACCTAAATTTGCTCTTCAGTTCTTTCAGCTTGAGATATTCCACATGTTCTTCTCTTTTGGTTTTCTAACTCCAGCTCTTTGTACATTTCATTACAGTACTTTGCTTTCTCTTCTTGAGCTACCAAATATTCTTGTAGGGCTACAACACCATGGTATCCTTGGATTCCAAGTAACAGATGAACAGACACAGCCCAAGACCCAAGCACATCACTCTTCCTACCTAAATCAGTGGTTTTCAAGCCAGTTTTCTGAGCAATAACAAAATACATATCCAATAATGAATTCAATGTCCATATACTCATCTTAGTCATTATATTTGTTTTTGTTATTCTCGTTGTTGCTGATTAATGAGGGCCTATTATGTGAGTCCTTAGATCATGTCAACAGTTAAGCACTTGACTACTATCTGAAAGGTTGTCAGTTTGAACCCAACTAGAGGTGCCTTGGAAGAAAGGCCTGGCAATTAACTTCTGAAAGGTTACAGTCATAAAAACCCTATGGAGTACAGTGTTACTCTGCACAGAGAGGGCCACCATGAGTTGGCTTCAAGTCAATAGGAACTAGTTTGGGTTTCAGTTTTGTTTTCTGTTTGTTCACTGTGTGCTGCCATAGAGCAACATCATAGCATCTGCTTAAATAAATGCAAATGAGATATCACAAGATAGAGATGGTCTGGACTAGGGAAACGTCCACTGTCACACAGTGAGCATGACCCCCGTCCTAGTCCTAAGAAAAGGGTACATTCTTACATTACTGGAACAGGAACTAAAACAGAAAACTCATAATTAGTTGAAAGACCATCAGAGAAGTAAAAGGTTGGATATGTAGAAAAACTATTTTGGCAGTGATAGGTCTATAACACCCAAGTGATTAGTCAAAATTATGTACCATCTATTTTATTTCAGGGTCATCTCAGAACAACCACAGACAGATTTTCTTAATTTTCTGTTTCTAGAGGTCTCTTCCATTGAAAAGATTTAAATAAATTTGTATCTCAATACCAATCACATCTATTTATTTGTAATTAAGAAAAGACGTTTTGGATATAAATTTAATAACCTGCACAGGCCAGGCTCATAGAAAAGGCATGCTAGCCAGGGAGTTCTGGAGAACTATTGGTAAGAAACTGCACTGCAGTCTTAAAGGGACATGATTCAAATCCACCTGTTGTTCTGCAGGAAAAGAATGTGCCATCTTCTCCTGTGTGATTTACCCACTGAAAACCCAATGAAGGATCAGCATCCTTGGAGCACCAGGCTATGTATAGCTAAAGGAAAAGCATCTTTAAAATGACAGCAACAACAAAACCCCCGTGAATTCTAGATTCACGTTAAGACCTTCAAACGGAGCTAAGGCTCTGCTTTTAGGCGGCCCTGTTCATTCAAGACTGAGCGCTGG